GGGTTCGATTCCTCAGCACCACATAAGCAAAAAGAAAAAAAGCCAGAAGTGGCGCTGTGGCTCAAGTGGTAGAGCGCTAGCCTTGAGCTGAGGGGCTGAGGGACAGTGCCCAGGCCCCATGACCGGACCCCCCCCCAAAAAAAAAAAGAATGGCTTCAGATAGCCATCAGTCTGCAAGGTCTCAGTCTTTTGAGTAGCTAGGATTATAGGTGAGAACCTCCAGTATCTGGCTTCAGTATTTGCTTGCTTGCTTGCTTTTTGTTTTTCTTTTGGTCACTTGTGGGCCTGAACTCTGGACCTGGGTGCTGTCCCTCAGCTCTTCAGCTCAAGGCTAGTCCTCTACCACTTGAGCCACAGCACCATTCCTGGCTTTTTCTGTGTATGTGGTGCTGAGGAATTGAACCCAGGGCCTCATGCATGCAAGGCAAGCACTCTACCACTGAGCCATCTTCCCAACCCAGTATTTTATTAATATAGGCCTCTTCACTATAGAAGTCTCCTTTCTGTTAGGTGTTAAGAGTTTGCTCTCAAAAGCTTCTACCAGGCCATATATAACCTCTTTTAAGTTCAGCCCCATTGCTCAAAGACTACTCAGACATTGAAAGTATAAAACGAACCTTGGGGAGACTGAGGTGGGATGATTTTAAGTTCAGCCTGGGCTCCATTGTAAGATCCTATTTCAAAAAAACCCTTGGGGAAGTGGTGCTGTGGCTCATGTGGTAGAGCACTAGCTTTGAGCACAGAAGCTCAGAGACAACACATAGGCCCTGATTTCAAGCCCCACAGCTGCCAAAAAAAAACCTCCAAAACTGGTTAGATATATGGCACGGTGGCTCATCTGTAATCCTACTTGCTCAGAAGTCTAAAGCCTAAAATTTACAGTTCAAAGCCAGCCTGGACAGCAAAGTCTGTAGGAGGCTCATCAATTAACCATCAAAATTTGGAATGTGGCTTAGTGGTAAAGTTCCTAGCATGCATGAAGCCCTGGGTGTGATTCCTCAGTATCAGAAAGCTGGAAGTGGTGCTGTGGCTCAGGTGGTATCTAGAATGTTAGGTTTGAGCAAAAGAAGCTCAGAGACAGTACCCAGGCCTTGAGTTCAAGCCCCACGACTGGCAAAACAACTGGCAAGTAGAGCTGTGGCTGTAGTGGTAGAGCACTAACCTTGAGCTAAAGAGCTGAGGGACAGCGCCCAGGCAGTACAAAAGTCCAGGACAGTGCCCCGGCACACACAAAGACAAGAAGTTTCCATCCATAAATGACCTTTGTGTTTGGAATTAAACTGAAGGCATTTTCAGCTCCTGTACAGCAGCAATTCAGAAAGTCTCCACAAAGTTCAAGTGGTTGACATGATGTAACAAAGTGTTCTGGTGATGTTGGCAAGTCACATTTTCTTTTTTCTTTTTGGTCGGTTGTGGGGTCTGAACTCGGCCTGGGCACTGCCCCTCAGCTCTTCAGCTCAAGGCTGGCGCTCTACCACTTGAGCCACAGCACCACTTCCGGCTTTTTCTGCTTATGTGGTTCTGAGGAATCAAACCCAGCGCCTCAAGTATGCAAGGCAAGTGCTCTACCACTGAGCCATCTTCCCAGCCCCACAAGTCATATTTTCTGAGAACCAGGGTTTGAGGCCCAAGAAAAGTACGTGAAGCACTTGCAATGCGAAATGCTAAGTGGGTATATGTGGACCCCTGTAAGAAGCTCTGTATTATCCCTCTGGGAATGTTAGGTTGAGAACTGGAGGTGTGGCTCAAGTGGAAGCCCTGAGTTCAAATCTGAGACCTTAAGATAATTAGGGGATTGAGAAAATTATCAGTAGATTTGGAGTAATGAAGTCCACTGACCCTCCCATAGTCAGACTGATGAAGACTACATCTATACTTCCACCCAGTTAAGTGCCCAGTTGTATTCTGACTTACTGGACAGCCTGAGATGCAGCACTCTTTCACAGAAGGATTAGTTTTCTAAAACTCTGCTATCAGCACTAAACTAGCAAATGACTCCTCTAGGCTTAGAGGGCAAGTGAGGTCTAGAAGGGAGACACGTCATCTCATGCTGTCCACCTGGTCCCAGGCCACCTGGGTTCCCTCATTCTCCACCAGAGGGCACCCTTTGTGTGACTTGGCCACCTGCTCTCTGCTGAGCCTTGGACTGCATCCCAGGTTTGCAGTTGTGGTTTATTTTTGGCACATCAATCTTCCGTCATGAAGCAGCAAATCCCAAAAGAGCAGCAGGACATCTTACTCTGGTCACAGGACGGCTTCAGCCCTTTGCTATTCCCTCTGCCCCGGGGCTCTGAGACCTTTGGGATTCTTGTTGCAGCCATTCAAGGCCCTTTGAGGATTCTCAACAGTGAGTAACTGGGAGATGGAGAGAGAGTGGGAGGCATGGGTAGAGAAGACAGACAAATCCATTAGACATGTTTCTCTTCCCTCTGAAGGTTGGGAAGTCTGCAGAAAGGCAATTCCTGTATGTTTTCCCACCTGGGTTTAGGGTGGGGGAATATCAAAAAGAATAGGCTGCCTCCTATTGGAGACCCTCCCCATAGGGAGAGAGGTGGAGGTGATGCACAGAGGCACAAAGTTGGCCCCTGTCAGGCTCTAGAGTGAGGGATGCATATGCACACAGAAGTGAGTCCAGCCAGAATTCTGTTCATCTTTGTGCCAGTTAACAGTGTTCCCAGCCCTGATGGCATCCCAGGGTGAGTCCAGCCATCCTCCATCCATGGAAGGTGTAGACAGGGAGGCTCAGAGAGGAGAGCGGCAGAGATACCCATCCTGGGACTGAGAAGAGCCTCCCAGAAAGTGGAGAGGTTTTTTTGGGAACAGATACTCTGAATTGCTGACAGGGCGGAGGAGGGCCTGTGTGAGCCCTGATGCCAGCTGCTGGCAAGGGAGATGCTTGTCATTCTAATCCTGCCTCTGGTAACCAGGCACCCAGGAGCAGGCACACCAGCCCTCTTGGAATGGCAAGCTGGAGTCTCACGTCAGTGCTGCCCTTAGAGAGGCCTGCCCCTCACAGGCCCTGGAAGCTGTGGACGTGGGGTGCGGGGCTTCCTATGCCTGTCTTCTACAATCATGAAATCCTGCGTCTGTGGGAGTTCAGTTCCCTTATAGCAGTGTCTGTTAGCCAGCTCAGCTCCTCTCCCTCCAGGTTTGCCTATACCAGTTCCGTCCTGCTCACCACACTCAACAGAACCAGGCAGGGCTTGTTAGGTAAGACCTGAAACATTCTGCCCACCAAAGCCAGGCCCAAAAGCTTACCTTCCCAACCATTGACTCACACCTAGGAGGCAGCATTTGCTGCATGCCTGCCCTGGGCACAGAGAGCAGAAGAAGCTAGGACATAGGTTCAAGAGAAAATGACACTGTAATGGACAGATGACAGCATACACTGGCAAGTGGTGCCAGATGCTGGTACCAAAATTCAGACTCACCCAGCCCAGTTCTCTATCCCACAGAACAGCTACCACAGTGACCAGCAAAGGAGGTAGGGAGGGAGAAGGGAGAATGAGGGGAGGAGGGAGGAAGAGAGTCCTGCATATGGACAGAAAGAGAAAACACAGAACAAGATGAGCAGGAAGCATGTCCCGGAAGGGAGGCTGTTTTCAGCTGTTTTGGTTGAAACAAAGAGGCTTGGGGGCTGGGAATGTGGCTTAGTGATAGAGGGCTTAGCATGAATGAAGCCCTGGGTTCGATTCCTCAGTGTACCATATACATAGTAAAAGCCAGAAGTGGTGCTGTGGCTCAAGTGGTAGAGCGCTAGCTTTGAGCACAGAGAGGCTCAGGGACAGAGCCCAGGCCCTGAATTCAAGCCCAGGACTAGCAAAAAGGAAAAAAAAAGTCTTGGGACTGGGATATTAAGATCATAAAATCACAAAATTTCTCATCTTTCCTACAGATGTAGAAAGCAGGGCCATCCTAGTCTCAGAGTAGAATAGAAAGCTTACTTTAAGTTAAGCCTCTACAGTTTCTGATGTATTCTAGAAGCAAGACTGTGCTGGCCTACTTACAATGATCCTTGGGGCCCCATCTCCTGGCCCAGCCCTGGGCCTGAGCTGGACCTGGCTCACCATCTGCTGGCCCCATTGGGGACAGTAAGGACTAAAAGATGTCTTGGGGGTCTTAAGACTATCCAATCTGGGAAGATGCAAGCCGGGCTGGGTGCAAAGCTCCAGGCAGCAAGGAGAGGAGAGCCATCGGAGGGACGTGGCCATCACTGGGGGCCAGAAAGGGCTAGGAAGCCAAAATTGGCTGAATTTTTGTTGTTATTGGTCATGGGGCCTAAAGTGGGCCTGGGTGCTGTCCCTGAGCTTTTAACTCAAGGCTAGTGCTCTACCAATTGATTGGCTGAAGTTTTTTAGTTCCCTAACATTTATTTCAAACATTCACTATGGACCAGCCCATGCTAGAAACTGTGAAGATGAGCAAGAAACAATTTGAGCCCTTTAGGAGCATGCCCTATTCCTGGGTCAGGGACTGACAGTGTCTTTCTCTCCCTTCCCAGAGTCCTTCAGTCACACCAGTTTTGCTGAGCATGACCCGGGACGAGGCGCTGCCTGGCTCTCATTCTACTCAGGGCTTCTATGAGAACTATGAGCCCAAGGAGATCCTGGGCAGGTAACACTTGGGCTTCTCCACTGATGTCTGCAGGCCAGAGCCAGCCCCACACGGGTCCCATTTCCCCTCACCTTGCCCCATTTAGAGTGGTGCTAGGACAAGGAGAGAAATTAAGAGATCCAGCTAAAGCCCCCAGGCTTGTTCAGGTTTGGGTTGAGGTGTGGCGGGGGGGGGGGGGGGGACAGAGGTGGGAGGGAAGGTGTGCTGAGCGTTTACAGTTTCCTTCCTGTACTAAGAGCACAGAATGCCAAGCTTGTCACTCCTGAGCTTGGGGCAAGCCGCCTGGAACTCTGTGCCTTCATTACCCACCCCATGGTCCCCAGAAGGACAGAACATCTCTGCCAGGGCCCTGCTCTGGGACTCTCTTTGGGGTGGGGGTTCCAATGGTTATGTGTGCTCTGTATCCCCAGAGGAGTTAGCAGTGTGGTCCGGCGCTGCATCCACAAGCCCACCTGCCAGGAGTATGCGGTGAAAATCATTGATGTCACGGGTGGCGGCAGCTTCAGCTCAGAGGAGGTGAAGGAGCTGCGGGAAGCCACCCTGAAGGAGGTGGACATCCTGAGAAAAGTCTCTGGACACCCCAACATCAGTGAGTGATGGCTACTGACCACAACAGGGTCCTGATTCTGCTCCAATAACCCACTGGGGGTGCAAATGCCCAGCATCCCTGGAAAGTCAACTAGAATCACCCCAAGTGTCCTGCACTCTGTGATCTGCTGGTCCGTCCTGGAGGCTGGAAGTTACCACTCCATTTCCCTGCTCAGAGGGAAGGGACCACAGAAGGACTGGGGGGGGGTTAGAGGTGGGGGGAGTGGGAAGTCCTCAGGCCCACCCACACTCCTGGTTGGTTTTCTTTGAGCACCTTCTGTTCCCAACCCCCAGCTTTAGAAATTAGCTCGCTTGCCCCTGTGCCCTAGCTGCCTCTACCCAGGACTCTCTGCTCCTTGAGACAAGCCAGCCATTTCCATTTCAGTACAGCTGAAGGACACTTATGAGACCAACAGTTTCTTCTTCTTGGTGTTTGACCTGTAAGTACCCAGCCCGCAGCCAGCATGGCCTGGGCCTTCCTTCTCTGATCCACTACTCTGGCCTCCACTGAGGATAAAGAGGGTCACAAATGCTTTAGGTGGACAGGTCCATCAGGCTGCCAAGTTTTGAAACCTACACTCATACTTTTGAGTTGGATTATTTGTATTCTCTTTTTTTTGTTCTTTTCTTTCTTCTTCTAGAGACAAGAGTCTTGCTATGTAGCCCAGGCTGGCCAGGAACTTGCATTCCCCCTAACTTAAGTATTGTTTTTCTCATCAGTATTATGGGTAAAATAATGGCACAGTAGCTAGCACAAGATTCATGCTAGTAATTAGTCGTTGTTGACTGCAGTGGTGGGTGATGGTGGTGAGGTCCTCAATATTTATTCTAAGCACCGAGGACACAGCAATGAAAAGAGTAAAGTCCTAGACATATACCCAAGCATATTTGTAAAGTGGAATGAGGGACTCTCAAGAGCAAGGACTTTTTATCTCATTTATTTGCTTTTGTAGTCCAGTGCCTTGTTCCCACAAATGCTTTACCATTTGGGCCATGCCCCTAGCCCTTTTGTTAGTGTTTTGTGTTTTGAGATACCTGTCTGGCCTCAGCCTCCCAAATAGCTGAAATTACAGACTTTTTTTTTTTTTGTCGGTTGTGGGGCTTGAGCTCTGGGCTTGGGTGCTGTCCCTCAACTCTTCAGCTCAAGGCGAGCGCTCTACCACTTGAGCCACAGCATCACTTCCGGTTTTCGAGTGGTTTATTGGTGATAAGAGTCTCATGGACTTTCCTGCCCAGGCTGGCTTTGAACCACGATCCTCAGATCTCAGCCTCCTGAGTAGCTAGGATTATAAGCATGAGCCACCAGTGCCCAGCTTACAGGCTTTTTTAAAAGACAGAGTGTTCAGGAAGGCTTTCCAGGCAGTGCAGAAGCAGAGGCCTGGCTAAAGCGAGGGAGGAACCAAAGCAAAGGCCTGGATCTGGAAGTTTGGAGCAAAAGAGCCCTATGGCCAATAACTTGCTATAATCATGGATCTGCAAGGATCCAGGGAGAGATGGAAGCCAGTATCTGTGAGCAGGAACGGCTGGAATTTCTTGGCATGGAAAGGCATTTGGAGGGCTGGGCATGGAGGGCAATGGGGATCTACCACTGAGCTATTTACTTACAAAGATCCTGTTGGCTGTCTGGGAACTATTGTAAGGGGGAAACATGGACGAAAAGAGGCCAACAGTGTCTAGGAGAAAGGTAGGTAGTAGAAGTTGTGTGTAGGGTTGAGTGTGTTGGCCCACACCTGTAATCCCACCTATTTGGCAGGTGGGGGTAAGGGGATCATGGTGTAAGACCTCATATGAAACACAAACTAAAAACAAAAGGATTAGTGATGTGGTTCAAGTAGTAGAGTACCTGCCTAGCAAGTGTAGGGCCCTGAGTTCAATCTACAGTACAGATGAAAGAAACAAAAAGGGTTTGGAATGTGGCTCAGTGGTAGAGTGCTTGCCTAGCATGCAAGAAGCCCTAGGTTTGATTCCTCAGTACCACATAAACAGAAAAATCTGGAAGTGGTGTTGTGGCTCAAGTAGTAGAGCGGGAGCCTTGAGCAAAAGAAGCTCAGGGACAACTGGGAAGGTGGCTCAGTGGTAGAGCGCTTGCCTTGCATGCATGAGGCCCTGGGTTCAATTCCTCAGCACCATATACACAGAAAAAGCCGGAAGTGGCACTGTGGCTCAATTGGTAGAGCACGAGCCTTGAGCTGAAGAGCTGAGGGACAGCGCCCAGGCCCAGAGTTCAGACCTACGGCTGCCAAAAAAAAAAAAAAAAAGAAGCTCAGGGACAGTGCCCAAGCCTGGTCCTGACTTCATAAACCTCAGGACTGGCAAAAAGGAAGGAAGAAAGGAAGAAGGAAGGAAGGAAGGAAAAGAAGGAAGGAAAGGAAAGGAAAGGGAAGGGAAAGGAAAGGAAAGAGAGAAAGAGTTGCATCTATGATGTGGTTCAAAGACTAATATTGTCACCCTGCTTTTGCCCTGACAGGATATGTGAGGGCGATAATCTCTTGACACAAAGTGTCAAGTATAAGCTAGACAGGGGCTGTGGAAACTGTACACTCCACACCTAACCATCTGGTTAGAAAAGGTTCCCAGGAAAGGAGATTCCTTAGCTCCTTGTTCCTGTACTCCACTGAGCTCTTATCACAGAACAGAACACAAATGTTTATGGTGACATAACCATTGCCTTTGGTTTGATTTAGTTTTTTTTTTTTTTTTTTGCCAGTCTTGGGGCTTGAATGCAGGGCCTGGGCTCTGTCCCTGAGCCATTCTGTGCCACAGCTCCACCTCTAGCTTTTTCTGTTTATTTGGTACTGAGGAATCGAACCCAGGCCATTATGCATGCTTAGCAAGCACTCTACCACTAAGCTACGTTCCCAGCCTTGTCTTGGTTCTTCCTCACATCCTGGCTTAAGAACTGGATTACTCAAGTAGATTTTTTTTGCCAGTCCTAGGGCTTGAACTCAGGGCCTGGGCACTGTCCCTGAGCTTCTTTTGCTCAAGGCTAGCATTCTACCAGTGAGCCACAACACCACTTCCAGCTTTTTTCTGTTTATGTGGTACTGAGGAATTGAACCCATGCTAGGCAAGTACTCTACCACTAGGCCACATTCCTAGCCCCTCAAGTAAATTTTGTAGTGTTGAAATATCTCACATAGTAGCTGTATTACTGATTATGGGACATATGGCAGGAGTCTGCTGAAGAGCCTTGCACAGATCTGGGTGTTCACTGGCAAATCTTTACTACTGCTGTTAGTTTGAAGTTCTCCTAGTATCTTTCAAATGAAGTAAAATGATAAAAACTGGAGGCTAGGGCTGTAGCTCAGTGGTAGACCACTTGTATGTTCAAGCTCCTGAGTTTGATCCCCATTACCTTATAGAGAAAGATACTGTGTTAAAAAAAAATTACCTCTATAAATCTAGGCTATGTCTTCAGATAGTCTTTCCTCCCCAGGCCTGCCATGGCTAGGGTTTTCTTGCTTTTCTACAGTGTGACACCATAGATCTTGTTTCTCTATTCATTTCCTTCCTGGTTTACCCTGGGAATCTCTGCTTTCCCTGGAGAAAGTGAGAGGAGGCTGGATATACCTTTCTCTATTTAACCAAGATATAGTCTCCTAAGAACCCTGTAGATTTGCCCAGCTACAACTGTCCCTACTCTGCGCAGTCACATGGCTCCATCCTGTACAACTTTAGTGGGCAGATCAAATACTCAAATGTCTTTAACCTTTGAAGAGGTTGCTTGGGTTGCTATTTTTACTGCTGTCCTGAGAAGCCCTCCAGAGGATGTGTGCAGCAGATACCTCATTTTAGATCCTCCCCAAAAGGTAAGAAAACTGAACTGGCCAGGCAGTGAGACTCTGCCTAGGCTGTACTGGGAGGCCCTGTTTCAAATAAAAACAAAGGGCTGAGGATGAAGATGCGGTTCAAGTGGTAGAGCAAAGCCACTGAGTTCAAACCCTAGTATCACCAAAAGAAAAATATCAGATCAGACCAAAAATTCAACTGCAATGTGTACTGTGTGCGTGTGTATATGCATGTGTGTGTACGTGTGTGTGTGTGTGTGTGTGTGTGTGTGTGTAAGAGAGAGAGAGAGAGAGACAGACAGACAGACAGACAGACAGACAGAGCAGAGACAGAAAAAAAGGGGATCAAACTCAGAGCCTAAAATGCTCGCTTGGCTTTTTTGCTCATGGCTGGCATGCTTTCCACTTGAGCCAGGCTTCAGTTCCAGCTTTTTGTCTGGAGGTAATTACCTCCAAATAATTGGAGGTAAGAGTCTCTGGGTTTGTCTGCCTAGGCTGGTTTTGAATTGTGATTCTCAGATTTCACCCTTCTGAATAGCTAGGATTACAGGCATGAGCCACTGGAGCCTGACTGAACTGCAATTTTTAGCAAATTTTGCTTTACTTGTATGCTAATTCTGTTTCCTGGGGAAAAAAAACCAGATAAGCTGAATCCTTCTGATCTGTGTCTGGGGCCCTGCGCCAGAGGCTCTGGGGCACCTCCTCCACTACTGAGGCCTTGGGCTTCTTACTACATGATATCCAGATCTCCCACACTTGTGCACATCCCACCTCTACAGCCTACTTTTCCTTTCTTGCAGTTCTTCCCAGACCAAACTTTATCTATGTGCTTCCTCTTCCAGTCTTGGACTTTTTATAAGGAGCTATCTCTGTAAGATGAGGATGGGAGACAACTCTGTGGGAGCAGGGGAAGGAAGGGGGGGTCTTGAACTAACTTACCTACAATCTCTGTTCCCACAGGATGAAGAAAGGGGAGCTTTTTGACTACCTCACTGAGAAGGTCACCTTGAGTGAGCGGGAAACCAGGTGAGGGTCTCTTCGCCCTCTTCACTACCTTTCCAAGTCCTAAGGTCACAGGTATAAGGATTGGAAGAGGCCTGGTGTGCATTGGTCTCAGCAGCCTCCATCCTTCCCTGGCTCCATTCAGACAGTTGCAGTTTGTCCTGGCTCTCCCTTACTTGCTGGAATGTGGGCTTTAGTCTGCTTGAACCTGTAGAGTAAAAGTGTGGTGTGTGGAGGCACACTCATTCTCTTTTGTACTCTTTTTATCTTGCTCAATAATGCCAACTAAGAAACTTAAAGTTAGTCTGGACATAGTAGTACACACCTGCAATTTCTGCACCTGAGAGACAGAGGCAGGAGGGCCGCTAGTTCAAGATCAGCCTCGGCTTCATTGTGAGTTCAGGTCAGACTAGGCTACATATACATAGAGAGACCCTGATTAAAAAGACAAAAACAGGGGCTGGGAAGGTGGCTCAGTGGTAGAGCGCTTGCCTTGCATGCCTGAGGCCCTGGGTTCGATTCCTCAGCACCACATAAGCAAA